ACAGCACCTTCCCAGGAGCATGCCTCTCCTTCCATGCTGTCTTCATTAGTGAGATGGAGACTCTGAAGAAGGGTCCCCACCCTCTGTGGTCAGGATAGGGAAAAGGGGCAGCATCGGGGGGTGGGGGTGGCTCCACCCCCTAACTTTAGGGGTCTTGGGGTTCAGGGTCAGGTGTGGGTGGAGCAGTGGGGGACCCTAGGTCAGCCACATCTGGAAAGGTGTTGGGATGTGCAGGTTTGGTGGCTGTCCTTGTGACCTCCTTCCCTGTGGTGGGGACCCCTCCCCCCAGGCCTTCCGCTATTCGATGTTCATTCATTTGGCTATTCTTGTGATGATAGACCTTGTAACTGTCAGGAATGCAGCACAGCTGGGCAGCAGGGACTGGCCTTGATCTTGACTGGCCAGGTGCCCTCGTAGGTGGAAAACAGACAGACGCCTTCCTCAGTCCTCTCTTCCGCCTTGGCGTCCCAGGCGCACCTGGACGTTTCTGCGTTTGTCGCCTTGACGCCACTCAGGTCTTGTGACTCCCTAGTGTTTCTGGGTGGGCAGTTAAATGGGCATTTGGGGGGCAAGGAGCACCCCAGGACAATGAATGTTGGGAGGAGTCCCACTGGGGAGACACTCTAAAATCCCCGTATGTATCTCCAGCATCCCTCCCGGCCTGTCCTGCCGCTGACTGACAGGTCCACCCAGAAATAGCAGGGTGGGGCCTGATTAGTACTTGAGTGGGAGACAAAAGTCTAACGTTACAGTTTTTCTTTCTTCCGTGTGGTGCTTGAGACAGGAAGTAGAGATCCCCTCGGGACGGGCACCGCACAGCTGCAGCCCAGCCCAGCGCAGCATCCCAGCGCAGCATGGCCTCATGCAGGTCTCTGCAGCCCCACCCCACCCGCTAAGCTTTCCATGGTGGGCAATGGAGGCCACAGCTCCTCTGCGTGACAGCGGCCCCCTTGTGATCTGTCCACACAAAGCCGGGCAGTGAGTGGTGGCCGACATTGCCCAGCACTGTAGGGACCGTGGCGTGGCCTGACCACTGTAAGTGGGAGGGTTGGGGGCCACCCCAGCCCTGTTTCGGTGGGAGGCTCCACAAGCCTCTAGGGAATGAGTGGTCTGGAGGAAAAAGAGCAGAGGGGAGAGACTATGGTGGCATTTTTCAGGCCCCGGGGCTGCTTGTCATCCACCTGCTTCACTCCAATCTCAACCAGGCTCCACCGGGAAGACATACCTCCTCCACCACCCAGCTGCTGGGTGTGTGTGTGGGGGGGGGAATGTAACCTCCTGAGGAAGAATGTCCTTTGCTGCCCTCAGGGAAATGTCACTCTAGCCTCTGCCGGACAGACCCCAGTCCCCCCTCAATCTCCCCCTCCCCCCCAGCAGGCTGAGCTGACCAGTTCCCTAGGGCGGAGGCAGTCTGGGTTCTCGCATTGTCTCTCCCCACCCCTTCCCTGCCACTCCCTCGTCACAGACCGTCTGTCCTTGCACTGCCCACCCTCGGCCCTTTTAATAGCACGGTCCCTAGAGAGCCGGGCCTCCAGGTGGCTTCACAGCGGGTGGGGGAGGGCGGGACATCCCGGGCCTTGAGATGAGGTGGGTGTCAGGGAGGCAGGTGGCTAGGAAAGTCCTCGGCAGGGAGGTTTCTCGAGGTGGGCGCCTTGCTGAGCTCCCACCGGGGTGGGTGGATGAGTGTGCACACAGCAGAAAGGAAGGGAGGAAAGGGCAGGGGGAGACGAGAGGACGCCATTCTAAAAATACAGCCCATCTGTGTCGTCGTCGCCGCCGCCGTGTGAGCTGGTTTCCTGGGAAACCTCTGGGAACACAAAGCTCAGCAGGGTGGCGGGGTGTGATCCTGTGGGGACGAGGACTTAGGGCCTCCTGGGCTGGGGATTAGGACCAAGGCTCAGAGCTGCTACCTGGCCAGACACGGGCTCCATCCAGGCCTGGGACCTTTGACGTCGTCGTTCTGTAGGCGGGGCAAACAGGACAGGGGTGGCTTCTGACCAGCCGGCTGCTGGGGACCCACTGCAGTGATGGGAGGGGGAGGCTAGAGACACATTCATCCCTTCACCCTTTAGGTGACCTGACATTAGAGTGTGAGCGCTAAGCACTAGGCATCCAGTCCAGGACCTCATTTAGCCTCAGTCTCCTCACCTGACTTCCGGTCAGGGTGAAGTGAGATAGTGCAAGGAAAACTTTACCAACCTTATAAGGAGGAATTGGGCCGGGCGGTGGTGGCGCACGCCTTTAAACCCAGCACTCAGGAGGTAGAGGCAGGCCAAGCTCTGCGAGTTCTAAGCCAGCCTGGTCTTCTACATGGTAGGCCTGTAACTACAGTTACAGATTAACCCACGCTACACAGTGTGAGACTCTGTCTCAAAAATTAATTAATTACATTCTTTTTAAAAACGTCTCCCCCCTACACTTCAGAGTGGACACCATATTTTCTTTTTCTCTCATAAATTACATCCTGACTGCAGTTTCCCCTCCCTCCCCTCCCCCCGAGTCCCCCTCTTTACCTCCCCTCTCCCCCCCCCATCCACGCCCCCTGCCTCCCCTCAAAAAGAGCAGGCCTCCCAGGGATATCAACCAAACACGGCATAACAAGATGCAATAAGACCAGGCACATAACACCACATCAAGACTGGACGAGGCAACCCAGCAGGAGAAAAGGGTCCCATAAGTAGGCAAAAGAGTGAGAGACAGCCTCCCCTCACCCCCTTAGGAATCCCACAAGAACACCAAAGTGCTCAGCCACAGCATATATGCAGAGGTCCTAGGTCAGACCCCTACAGGCTCCCTGGTCTCTGCAAGCACCCGTGAGTCCTGGCTGGTTGATTCTGTGGGCCGTGTTCTCATGGTGGACACCCTATTTTCAGTCCTCACCAATCCCTCCAGGAGCAAGCCTGAAACTAGTTGTTTATTATGACTATTTGGTCAGGATTTTACTGGGTGTCTCAGGACTCGTACCCCACCCCACCCCTCTGCCGTAGCTCACCCTCCACCCTGCTCCCTCCTGGGAACTGTGGATGTGATGTACAGCCTTCAGGCTCTTCTTGTGGGGCCATTTGAATCTCTCATACATGGTATGACACCGAATGCTTTTGTAGCTGCTTTTTAAAACAGCTGTTACCTTTGTTATACCTGTGTGGCGACATGCATGCAGAGGTCGGAGGACACTTGTGGGACGCAGTTCTGTCCTTTCACTGTGTGGGTTCTGGGAATTGAACCCGGTCGTCAGGTCTGGTGGCAAATGACTACCTGCTGAGCCATCTTACCAGCCCTGTGAGCTGCATTTTATTAACTGTTACTCAGCATTGCCCTGTGATGTAAAATAATCGTAGTCAGATCACCAAAGCGATGTGTGACTCTGATGGCCCACTTTGGCTTTGGCTTCTTCCAGCTTCTCCGTTGATGGCGACACTGTGAGCATTCCTAAGGCTAAGCCGTTAGTCACCTCCCTGGCTTTCTTCAGAAGTCTCCCCCAGTGAGGGGACTTGCTGAATCTCACAGTGGGACTCTTTACGACATATATTTCTTTTTGGTAATCCATTTTGGCTATACCCCAGCTGTATCCCCAGCCCATGGCTTGAGCCTTTTGAGGAATTTTCATTCATTTTTGTATAACTGACATCCAGGGGGGAAAAAGTGTCAGTGTTTTTGTGGCATGCAAATTCAGAAAGTGCCAGTCTGGGGCTGGACATGTAGCTCAGTGGTAGCATGCTCGTGTGATGTGTGGGGCTCTGGGTCCCATCCCCGGTGCCTCCAAAGTCTAGAAAGTGCTGCTCTCTGCTTCTGAGCCAGCACTGCCGGCTTTTCCATGGTCACTGTTGCTGGAGGGCTTCTCTCCAGGCTCCACCAAGCCCCGCAGTCCCACAATCCACATATAAAATAATCACTAAGACGCTTATATTACTTATAAACTGTATGGCCGTGGCAGGCTTCTTGTTAACTGTTCTTATATCTTAAATTAATCCATTTCTATAAATCTATACCTTGCCACGTGGCTGGTGGCTTACCGGCGTCTTTACATGCTGCTTGTCCTGGCGGTGGCTGCAGTGTCTCTCCCTCCTTCTTCCTGTTTCCCCAATTCTCCTCTCTCCTTGTCCCACCTATACTTCCTGTCTGGTCACTGGCCATCAGTGTTTTATTTATATAGAGCAATATCCACAGCAGCCATAAAGGGGGAAATGAGTGTCTTATTATTTATTCATTGGCTTGAGACAGGGTCTCAGTATAAAGTCCGGTGCGGACCAGGCTGGCCTCAAACTCGCAGAGACCCACCTGCCTCTGCCACCATGCTGGCTGAATTATCTTATTTTAATCTGAATTTCTTTTAGTATCTCTCTGGGTGTTAATGAGTGTCTAGTGCCGATCCTTGACTCCTCTCCCTCCTGGTATACTCTGCCCTCTGCTCTACTCTGCCCTCTGCTCTTATACCCAGGTGAGCGATGGTGCGGCCTCTCGTGCAAGTGCCTCATCCTGGGTTGTCATCTGCCCGGTGTTTGTGACCGCACCCCCACACAAAGACACAGAGGGCAAATGTGTACCCACTGTAGAAAGTGTGACCCTTTCTTCCTCCAAAGGTCAAAAGTTTCTACCTTGGGGCTGGAGAGATAGCTCAGAGGTTAAGAACACTGGATGCTCATCCAGAAGTCCCGGAGTTCAATTCCCAGCAACCACATGGCGGCTCACAACCATCTATAATGAGATCTGGCGCCTACACATAATAAATAAATCTTTAAAAAAAAAAAAAAAGTCTCTGCCTCTGCCCGAATCACCCAGAAATCAGGGTATGGGACCTTCTGATGTCTGTAGGCTGAGATCACAGGTATCTTCTGTCCTGACCCAAGCTGTGTTCAAGTCCCGGAAAGAGCTCTCACTTCCCATCCTCTCCAGCTTCAGTCACTTTGAGCCCACCTCTTTCCTACCCCTCCACAGAACCCTTCTGCCCCACAATAAATGCAGAGCTTTGTTTGAAACTTACAGGGATCCTCTTGTGTTGCTTAGTTTTGCAAATCACGATTTTATTTGAAGAGAACAAATACAATATACCATCCCTTGACATGAGCAGGTGTTGGAGAGAGATCGGTTATGGTCACCTGGGGACAGCAGCCCTGGCTTGTGATACCCTCACTGGGCAGCTTCAGAACAAGGCCCAACCTCATGTCCCCTTCCTTCTAGGGCTTCTGCTCCACGACATGACCATGGCTGGGCTGCAGGAGCTGCGATTCCCTGAGGAGAAGCCCCTGCTCCGGGGCCAGGATGTGACAGAGCTGGTGAGTCACCCCTTCCAGGTCCTGGGGCCGTGTGCCACCTTGTGGTGGAGAGGGAAATTGCGTGTTTTCCCGCAGTCTTGCCGGTGGTGATGGGGAGAACCTCCCCGTGAGCTCAGAGCCACCCAGAACTGACGCCTGAGTGTCCATCCAGTGTGGCTGGGTGTGCACCCCGCCCACCTTGTTTTGCATCTGGGATAGGCAGGAGCCCAGCACTTAGCACCTTCAGCTCTGTGTTTTATTTCCACCTACCTTCCCAGCCTCGGGGCAGAAGGAGCAGCAGGGATTGGGATCAGGTGGCTAGGCAGGGGCTCTGGGGAGTCCAGCCGCGTGAGGCCACAGCCCTGCCCCTGAACAGGGCGTGGTTGGTCATTCAACCTCGAGCAAAGCGCCCACTCCTGGGTTTTTTGAGGGTGGTAGCCTGTAGGGCCAGAGGTGAGCTGCATGTTTAGTAAGCTCTTCATCCTCGGTTCCATTGCTCCTGGTCCACAGCCGATCCCCCTGTGAGGTTACCTGCAGGAGCCTCCTCCCCATGTCCTCATTTTTCTTTGTGCAGTACAACCCTTTAAAAATGCACACGATAGTCCTGTGCATAAACTTCCCAGGGGCTGCTGTCTCCCGCAGACTGCCATGGCCATTCCTGAGGCTAGGGGTATAGCCTCCTCTTTCCCCTGCCTCCCTCCTTCCCAGCCTCCTTGAGTGTTTCTGTCAATTCCCAGCTGCTTCCTCTGCTGGAAGGCATTAGCCCAAGATGACAGGGCAGGTTCCCTATTTTATTCTGGCCTCTGCTCAAGTGCTCCCAGGAAGCCTTTGCTGCCCACGAGCTTGTGACTGGCACCCGTTCCACACTCTTTTAACTCGCAGCGTGTGTCATCAGACCCTCACCCTGAAGCACGGGTCTGTCTCATGCCCAGGTCTCTCCAGCCTCCTGCAACACCTAGCTGCCCCTTTCTCCTGACTCATGGTTCCATCCTTCCTGCCCCTGGCAGCCTACCGCCTCCTCCTGCTGTGCCCGGGCTCTCATTTCACGCCAGTGGCCGGCCACCAGGGCCATAGTTTGCCACTCCAGTGTTTGGGATCTGTGTTTCAGACTCACGCAGAGGCCTCGATCCTGAGTCAGCAAGAGGCTCTTGCTGGATATCTGGTCACCTCTGCTTTTTCCAAAGGAGCATTTAAAAAAAAAAAAAAAAAGCCCAGTGTGGCCTCCTCGTGGCTCCCAGCGAAGTCCTTGTGGGGTCGGCTGGCTGCACCTTTGTCCTCAGTTTTTGTCCACCTTTGTCCACCTTTTTCGGGCCGTGACGCTGGCGAGTTCTCAGTATCCTGAGGGCAGTGCCTGCCTGACCGCTTCAGTTCCTGGATGGCTGTAGTTGGCCAGGTACACACTTTTGTATCCAGAGAGCAGTGAATACAGCAGGCCCTTCGTATCCATGGTGTCCACACCCAGGCCTTTAGTTAGACAGACAGAAGTAGCCGGAGAGAAATCATCTGTACATGCATTTTTCTTGTCCCGTTCCCTTAACAGCAGAGTATAGCAACTATTTCCATGACATACGCATATATTCTAGGAGGGGTGTTATAGGAAATCTAAAGCTGATTTAAATTGTATGAGAGGAGAATCGTGGGTTCTGGGCAGATATAATACCATCTTAGAGAAGTGGAGTTTGGTACCTACAGAAGGTGCTGGAACTAATGCAGAGGCAGGGGGATGACTGTATTATAGGTACCTTTCCACCTCTATAAGCCACTTAAGACTGGCTTTTCCTGAAGACTGCAGGGTCTGGGGAGTTCTACGGGACACTGCCCCTTCTCTGCACCTCCTGGGCCTCCCTGCCCTTCCTGGGCTTCTCTGTTCGTCCAGACCCTCTCCTGCCCTTTGCTCTGACCTCAGACACTTCCTGTGGTTCCCAGGGATTCGTGTTGGCTCATTTTTCTGCTGTATCTTGGCTTGTGGGTCCCATCTCTCCCACGCACCTATTTCCTGGGCCCCTAACTTCCCGAGAGTGTATAGCACACCCTACCATTATCTGCCTCATCCTTTCTGTCAGATTCTGTTTTTTTAACAGAACAGCCTCCCTCCTTCCCTGAGGTAATTACCTTCCCACACTTGCTTCTCAGCCCTCTCACTGAAGGCGCTTTGGTGAAAGGCTCCTTCAGTGACCAGCCCTACCCCCTTCTGCCAGCAGCCCCCTTCCTAAGGGATTCCAGAAGTGGCCACCCTCTCTCCCTAGCTCCCGTAGGTCTTGGAAGAATCAGTAGATCTCACTACATAGCTGAGGCTGGCCTTGAACTCCCAACCTCCTGAGGGCTGAACTTGCTACTTGCTACTTGGCACTTGCTACTATGCCCAGCTATGGGTATCTTCTGAGCCACATGCCTCTCATTTGTGATGTCAAATTGTCCGTCCAAATTAGCCTGTGTCTGGGAGCCCACTCTAGTCCAGACTCTACATGGCCAGGTAGCGTCCCCCCTCATGGCATCTGGAGTCCGGAGGCAGGACAGGCACTGTTGGAAGACGCTACTGCCAGCTTCACATAGACCCAAGAAGTTTGAGAGAGTCCGATGGGCCTTGACAATCCCTAATGTGCACAGGTCAGGACCCTGAACAGGCCTCAGCTACCACCCTCCCTGCCCTGGGGGTGACAATCACGGTGCCTCTCTGCTCCTTCATCATCCTCTGCCCTTGTGTGTGGTGATCCAAAGCCGGCACTCAGGCCGAGATCCCAGTGCATTCTGCCTGGGGAGCCATCCTCAGTCTCCCTGACACCCTACAAGTTAGAAGTCCTTGCACTGTTCATACCCTGACCCCCAGCACTGGGTAAGCCATGAGCCACTTGTGTTAGCATGAACCTGACTGGGAGTCAGAAGAGCCCTGGGAGCTGGGCTAACGTCCCCCCTTTGTCTGCTCTCCTTAGGACAACCCCGACACCCTCCTCTCAGTTGTGGACACGGACTGGAAGGTAGGTGAAGGCTCCGCCCCTCCAAATGTGGGGCCCGGATCTGTGGGGACCTCATTCCTACCGGGCTGGGTCTTAGCAGAGCATCCCAGCCTGTCTGCATGTCCCGGTCTCTGGTGGCGAGGACAGGCCACCTCATGGTCTGATGACCACCCCCACTGCTCACACCACCTCCACCTGCTTCCTGCCCAGTGTGGGGGTGGGTAGGGGGCTGGACCCTCTGTGAACAGGAGAGTTGGGGAAGAAGCAGGTGCCTCGGGCAGTGAGTGTGCAGAAGGGAGGGAGAGATGCTGTCACCTGAATCAGCATTTCCCTCCAGTGGAAGCTAGGCTGGCTGTGAAATAACTCCGGTTTCCATAGCAGCTGTTGCCTGGACAACCATGTCCTCTTTCGTTAGATGCCAAAGGTACCATGAAAACAGAACTTGCTCTTCGTTATATTCCTTCACATGATGATTTTTGCTCACTTGGCCAGCCGTTTCTCCCCTCTGAGTCCCCTCGAAACTGTTTATTTCCAGGTATATGTCTAACAGCGGCATAGGATGGAGAGGGAAATAGGTTTATAGGGTTCCCAGACTGCACTGGCTGTCCAAATATGACAAACCAATTCAGGCCCTCCTCCCCGCCCCTGCTGGATGGAAGTCACCCCCAGGCCACTTTCTTTTCTCCACCTGACCTCTCTTTGGGTCAGTCTGCATGGAACAGTCTTCTAGTCTGGATACAGGAGGTGGGGCTCCCTGATGGCTCCTCACCCTGAAGCAGCTAGCCAATGAGAATGAGGAGCTGGGCCTGCACTGGTCCCTTGGTCATGTGCCTCTTCAAGGACATGAAGGGAGGCTATAGGCAGACCCTGAGGTCACGGGCCTTAGATGAAAGGAAAGCATAGGCAGTTGAGGCCAATCGGAGTCCCGGAGAAGGAATGGGCGGGATGTGGCTGTGAGGTGGACCAGCCTATTCAGAAGGGACAGCCAGAAATCCGAGCATGACAGACCCTGGCATGGAAATCTGTATTCTGTGTTACAAATGAGAGTGTGGAGGTGTGGGGGTGGGGGAGTGTGAGTGGACAAGCCTAGAGCCGCTGTGCATGGTGGGACCCTGGTTCTCAAGACCCTTTGCTTGGTGAAGGGCATCGCCTTCCTGTCACCCTGGGAATACTACACAGAGGCCGGTTTGGTTTGGGTTTTCTTTTTTAAATAAAACACCCACAAAGATGGCTGGTATCTGGGCCACAGCTGGGGGGGGGGGCGCCTTCATCCCCAGCTCCACGGTGGCAGGCCGTCTCTGGCCTTGCGAGGTCAGTTGCAGGAGAAAGAAGCGAGACAGAAAAACCAGGAAGTACAAGAGATCCCACCTAGGTCCATCCGTGTCCACCGCCCCACATGCTGCTCTCAACCTGCTCTAGTCTAGGTCCGCCTATGTCCGCCCCCACTACACGCACACACACACACACACACACACACACACACACACACACACACACACAC